TATCTTTCTAGACTTTCTATAATTTATAGAACCAAAAATAGAAAAAAAGGGTTTAAAATTTATAAATTATTGAGTACTTACTTCATTCTTAAAACTGTCTTTGTGGTAGATAGAAAACTATTATTAACCCATTATACAGACGAAGAAACTAAACTTAAATAAAGTTATCTAAATAATCTAAACCACACAAATAGTAAGTGGCAAAGCCTGATTGAACTAAGAAGGTATATTTATTCTAAAGTATTACTATAAGTTCTATCTTTCTAGACTTTCTATAATTTATAGAACCAAAAACAGAAAAAAAGGGTGTAAAATGCTAACATTGCTGCTTCCCAACTTAGTATAAAGATAATTTAATATAATTATAGTTAGACAAGTTTGAACTGACCTAGGACCTAGAATTGCAAGATGTTAATTATGCCTATAAAATGTTACTCTCCCCTATTGTACCTCTATACTCTTACCACTAGATGGCTATACACAGCTTTAACATTTTTGGTGCAATTAAAAGGGAAACCATTGACATTTTACATAGCTGAAAAATTTTGCTCTTACCCTGTAAAAGAGAACACTGAAATCACGTATCATTTTCACAAGGTGATGGGTCTGTTCATCTGTTAACTGACAAACCTTAAAATGAAAAAACAACTCAGCATAGTTTCATAATTTGCTCATTGCTATAAAAAAAATACCATTTGCCAATTCTGTTAAAGATAACTGTAAATTGATTTAAAATACAGTTGACCCTTAAACAACATGAGTTTGAACTGTGAGGGTCCACTTATACGCAGGTCTCTGCTACCCTTGAGACAGCAAGACCAGCCCCTCCTCTTCCCCAGCCTACTCAATGTGAAGATGATGAGGATGAAGATCTTTATGATCCACTTCCACTTAATGAATAGTAAATATACTTTCTCTTCCTTGTGATTTTCTTAATAACATTTTCTTTTCTCTAGCTTACCTTATTGTAAGAATACAGGATATGACACATATACAAAATGTGTTAATCAACTTTACGTTATCAGTAAGGCTTTTAGTCAACAGTAGGCTATTAATAGTTAAATTTTTGGAGCATCAAAAGCTATATGTAGGCCCAGCGCGGTGGCTCATGCCTGTAATCCTAGCTCTCTGGGAGGCCGAGGCGGGCGGATTGTTTGAGCTCAGGAGTTCGAAACCACCCTGAGCAAGAG